TCGTCCCCGCACATGTGGTTACTTGCTCCTGTATCAAGATACCAAACCGAGTTGTCAGAACAGCTCAGACTTAACTCGACATCCGAACTTCTCGACATCATCAATACTCCTTCTTCCTCAGTGTCCTCAGAGAGGAGGTTTGTCTCCTTCTTCCTCTCAGATCGGCAGTCCTTCACGAAATGCCCAACCTTCCCACAATTATAACATTTGATACCTGAATAGCAGTCCTTAGCAAAATGACCGTACTTCCCACATTTGAAGCACTCAACTCCGGAATTGCTTGACTGACCACCTCGGCTTCTACCGTCACGACCTCTACCTTGTCTTCGGCCACGCCAGTTTTGTTGACTGACTTGCTCCTTGCCTCTTTCATATTCTCCTCTGCCTCTACCACCTCGGCCTTGAGTGTTCTGAGCATAAGGAACCTTCTTCTCTTTTAAGGTTGCCTTTGCTTGGAGTGCTTGATCAAGGGACTCCTCTTTCTTCTTCCTTCTCCGCTGCTCATGCCCTTCAAGCGACCCGGCAAGCTCTTCCACCGAGAGCACCGACAAGTCCTTGGACTCTTCTATTGCACAAACGATATTCTCAAAGTCGTCAGTTAACGACCTTAAGATTTTCTCCACCACTCGGCAAGTGGGCAGCGTCTCTCCATTTCTTCCGAGTTGATTCACCACGGTCTCAACACTAGAGATGTACTCGGCAACCCCTTCGACCTCTTTCATCCTCATGCTTTCAAGCTCACCTCTAAGAGTTTGAAGCCTAACTTGTTTCACGCGATTATCCCCTTTATATACCTTCTCCAGAATATCCCACGCTTCTTTTGAAGATTTAGCATTTGCTATCTTCTCAAAGCCAGACTCATCAACAGCTCGGTACAGTACGTACAAAGCCGTTTTGTCCTTTACTCGTGTTGCTCTCAATGCAGCAAGTTGAGCAATCGTCTGCTCTTCAATATTCTCTGGTTCTTGGTGCCCATTTTCGACCACATCCCATACTTCTTGGGAACCAAGGAGAGCCTTCATTTGCAGGCTCCAGTTATCATAGCTTACGCCTTTCGATAACTTTGGCAGGGGCATGCTGTTAGCTAAGTTGGCCATCTCGAACAAACTCTCTAACTCTCAAACACTCTCTCTAACGCACTCAGACACTCAGTCTCTCAAGCTCTGATGCCAATTTGTTGACAAACAAGTATCTAAATAAAACACTCTGTATATTATCACTTGATGTGTTTTTGCAATGAGTGGTACATGGTCAATTTATAGGCCTTTGGATATGGCCTCTCAACTATATACATTTAATACAATTACTACTTTTCAACTACTACCTCTATAACCACTACCTCTCAACTACATGCATTTAATGTTTACCTAACAAAAGGACATGTGGCTGCAAAATAAGGGAATGGAAGATGCCAAAATCAGTGGTGTGGAAAATGAATAAGGGTGAGGAGATTGGAGGGGAGGCAATCACTGGGGTAGTGTGGGGAGTGGCCTGTGCCACAGAGCACAGATTTCCTTCAGTGATAACTTTATTTTCTTTCATTCCTCAGTTATTTGTTGGCAAATTCTCTTGTAATCAGAGTGTCAGACCTATGATTAATACACTTCCTATATTATGCTAAAATTATGAACTTAAAATGCAAACATTCATGGTTTACTTTTGTGCCACTAAAGCTGTGAAATTGCATGATAAATCACACCGGTGCATGTTCAATCCATTTAACATCTCCCTTGTTAAACAAAGTGGAAAGCAGGATATTTCATGCTGATGTCTGGATTAAATTTCTACATCGAAAGAGTTTAGAGTAGCAGCACTACTTTAACATAACTCAGCTTTTGTTTTCTCTCACCCTGTTATTCCAGATTATTTCTTTGTGGAATCCAAGATTATCTCTCGCATGTGACATTTTAAGAAACTGCTATGAAGCCTTTGCCCTGTATTCTTTTGGCAGATACCTAATTGCTTCTCTTGGTAAGTTACTGGCAGTAACATCAATGTCTTGAGAATATAACTATGGTTGCTTTAATGTCATGCATAAACTTGGCTATTTGAGAAATGCAGGAAGCAAAATAGATGCTACATGTGTTTTATATGCTACTAAAAGCTGTTCATGAAGGACGTAGTCTTGGGGAACTGGAATAAAATTAGAAAATGATTTTCAGAAACAGTTCTGCTTCTCAAGTCAACAGCTTATATATTTGATGTTATACTTGTTTGCATTCCTATCACCCCAAACCCTTCGAAGAGTACAAAATATGTTGGTGTGTGAATTCATGTTTTCTTCAGCTGCCAAATATGTTAAGTTTCTACAGACTTTTTTGGTTCGTTCTCTATTCATCTCACTGAGCATGTACTCCTGTTTTAGAGAAGATCACATTATGATGCTAAAGGTCAACTGAAAATATTTCACTTAACTCAATTCTTCAAATGCAATGTGCTAGGTGGTGAAGGAAAGGTTGTCGAACTACTTGAAGATGAATCTACAAATCACCTTAATAAATTCTTGTTGGATGGCTTAGATGAGAATCGTGACATCGAGCACACATCATTTTGCAACTTCTTTTGGCATCCAGGCAAGCTTGGAAAAGATCTTCTCACAATAGAAAAATTTGGCCTTGTTCAATATGTAAGTCACTGAAAATTTCCTTAATATTACAGTTCATTTTAGTTCTGAAACGACTCTAATGTCACCAAGGTATAGTGCAGATGATCCTGAAGACTGTTTGTGCATTGTTAGCATTCATATTGGAATTGTTTGGTGTTTATGGTGACGGGGAATTCAAGTGGTACTATGGGTGAGTATTTTATACAAAGATGGAATCCAAGATCTGATTTATCATTGTGTCTGGCATCATAAACTGACATATCTCTCATACGTTTTGACCATGCATGTTTCTTCTCTATGAATTGTATACAATGATTATTATTAATCAAACGCATCTTCAAATATGTTAAATAGTAATAATGGTTTTTCACATTTTGCAGGTATCCATATATAGCAGTAGTAATGAACTTCAGCCAGATGTGGGCATTATACTGCCTAGTTCAGTTTTATAATGTTACTCATGAGAGACTTCAACCAATAAAGCCACTCGCTAAGTTCATCAGCTTCAAGGCTATTGTGTTTGCCACTTGGTGGCAAGGTGTAGGTATTGCGGTTTTGTGTACATTTGGAGTGCTACCCAATGAGGGAAAATTCCAAACTGGATTGCAAGATTTCTTAATTTGCATAGAGGTAATTCCTCTATATTCTTTAGTCTTGTGGTCTTTATCATAATCACCTTTAAGATACAACAAACATTTTTTTAAGAAGCTAAGTTTGAAGGATATTTTTCTGTTTTATCTTTAACACAAGGGATAGTGATCCATTTTGTCATCCAATTTGAACTCTGCAAGGTTTATCTTCATATCTGCTTGCAATCCGGGTGAAATGGGATATGAGTGAATGAAAAATCAAGGTTGATTATTTTCGGTATATTTATTTTTTGAGTGGATTAAGTGGATCATCTTTCTTTAGCGAGAAAATATCAATTTGTAGTCTCAAATTTCGTGCTTATTATTCGCAAATAATCATTCTGCGTTTTATTGCTCCTGAAAGAAATGCGTTTTGATAGATAACGCATAGACTTCACTTAGGTGTCTAAGAAAATGCTAGTAGTATACTCTTTACATGCTTCTTTTAGTGCATTTTCTACTATTACGAAAAATTCATGAGGAGCCCACTGAATGTTAATTGTTCTCTGTTTTACGAATCTCATTTATTAGTGAACCGTCCTTTTTTTATTGATGTAATGGATCAACAAATAATGATAACTTCAGAGGCCACAAAAAACAATGATGAAGTTCATTTCATGTAAAGGTTTAAGCCAATGTGTAGAGAAGTGATAATTGGGTTACTGAATTCTGCAAACCACGGCAACCAAAATTGTATTATTTTCATAAATTAGCCCTAAAAGAATATAGTAATATTTTCAATCCCTTTTCATCCAAAACTACTTTCGTGTCCATGGGAATGCAGATGGCCATTGCAGCTGTTGCTCATGTGTTTGTATTTTCTGCAAAACCATATCATATTCTTCCTTCTGCTGCGTATGGAAAAGTCAGAAAAGAAACAGAAGAGGCAGCCTTGGACATAGATGAGGAGAAAAAGCAGAAACCAGCTCTGCTAAAAGAGACATCCACTCGAGTTGAGTCTCCAAGAACAAGTGTGACGGAGAGCGTCCAGGATATTGTTGTTGAAGGTGGTCAACGAGTAAGTTCATTGGATAACCATAACATAATTCACATTTAGTTATCACTGTTAACCCCATCTTGTCTGTACACCAGGTGGTCAAGGATGTTGTACTGGCAATAAATCAAGCAATAGGACCTGTGGAAAAGGGAGTGACAAGAATTCAGCAAACCTTCCATCATAGAACGGTGGTTTCATCAGATGATGGTGAGGAAGAAGAATCAGATATACAAGTATAGAAAGATGTCACAGAATCTTAGCAGTGAAGGGAATAAAATTACAACGATGGAAATCAGATTTGAAGAAGCGGGCTTTGTTAATGAAGATATCATATACATGTTAATTTGTACAAATGCTGATGCAACTTCAGAAGCCTATCTTACTAGTGCTAGGACTTGCTAGAATGGATGGTATAAACATCATTCCTCCGGTACTCAACAAAAGGTTAAAATGAGAATAGATTTTTTTTGTTTCTTTTAAATAGTAAAAATCCTTTCAGATGATGTGTCTATTCTTCAAGTAAAATAAGCTAAAAGGAGGAAGTAAACAGAAACGTATTTCTTTTCTCAGTATAAGCATTGGAAATTGACTTTCTACTGCAAATTAAGCATGCTGAACTATACTCTTGGAAAATTTATACTACCCAATTTTGTCAAGAAAAATCAACTATGAAACGGAACTGATGAAGCATATACATTTCCAAATAAACAACACAGTAAGCGGTAATTTCTACGTAGTATACAACAACCATACAACATATTTTAAGGTCTCAGCTTTCATCAGAACAGCAAATTTCTGCACAACAGTCGAGGCAGCTGAAACATCCCAAACCAACGCAAAGTTGAGCAATTGCATTTGCACATTGGATGTTCATCCGAGTACAGGCCTTGATGCAGCACATGCAACAGCAGTGATTGCAGAAGGAGCTACAACAGTTCGAGGCCGCCTTAACAAAGATTTCAGCCCCATCAGGCCCTTTTGTGTCATGGGATCGTGGTTGAGTGTTTTCAGCAGTTGCAGTCAAGTTGCCAAACCCTATACCTAAGTGAGGGAGCAAAAACATTCTCTGCGCTTGTTCATTCGCTCCAGTCTTATCATGATGGCTCTTTTTTGACACCTTTTTCTATAATTTAGAGAAACGATCAGAAAGGGAAGAAATATTATTAAAGAAAACAATAAGCACAATAGAAAATTGAATTATGGGAATTCAATTAAACAGTTAAACCAACCGACTATGCATTGGTTTTTGTGTCATGCTACCATACATCTAATGCAGAAAGGAATACATTTCAAAGAATGAAATGACAAAAAATTCGTTTTCATAAGATAATATCTATGTTATTAGGAAAAAGAACCCCAAAACTTTTGATACATACTTCTTTCTTCCTATCTGATTCCTTGACATTCTTTCGTTGATCATTCTCAAGATTTGCCATATTAGTGTACTCGGATATAAAGCCAGTTTGTAAGCTTACATTTCAAAGAATGAAATGAAAAAAAATTCGTTTTCATAAGATAATATCTATGTTATTAGGAAAAAGAACCCCAAAACTTTTGATACATACTTCTTTCTTCCTATCTGATTCCTTGACATTCTTTCGTTGATCATTCTCAAGATTTGCCATATTAGTGTACTCGGATATAAAGCCAGTTTGTAAGCTTAGTTTTGCAACCTGCCAATTTAAATGATGTGGTACAAGAAAAAAATTATAAGAGAAAAAAAGAAATGTCCGAATATCAAATTAAGAGCCAGTACAACTCAGATGAAATTTTAACTCAAGCGTGTGGATACGTGGAGTGATAGAACAGACACTAGTAACAAACCTGCTGTTCTAATTTTTCATCGTTTGAGAGCCATGCTTGAGCAGTAAGATACTCTATTTGATCTCGTGCACAAATCTGTTAAAAGAAAAGCAGTGCAAGAGAATAATAATAATTAACAGTAAACGAAATGAAATAAAATAACAAAATTGTGCATATTTATTACAAGGAGGGTAAACTGCATCATGGGAGAGTATAGATAAAGCAAACCAGTATTTATGGCATATGCACTCATTGGAAGGATAAAGAAAGCCATGGTTCTTTATGTGCACACAGAAAATCATGACGATGGAATTTACCAAAAGCAGAATTAGGACTAAATGTAACTTATATATTATTCTATGCTTCATAAAATAACAGATCCTTCAAAGTTCAAAGAGGATGGCGGAGTACCACACGGATTCCTAGCACCCATAAACAAATTTAAGCATCCTCTCCAGAAATTTTAGATGTAGTTTTAGGGGAAAAAAACAAGACAAATAAACTTGAATTGTGAATAAGCAAGGTGGTGCAGAGAGCATTACCCTTTGTATAGGTATGTCCTTAGCCTCTTGAATGTTCATATCTATTACAAAATTACTGAAATCAGCCAAGATCCCTTTAATTTCAAGATCTTCGGGAAAACTTCCATTGTATCTTCCAGATAAAATCAATGGACCATCTTTGGAAAGATCTGGAATATGGAATGGGCACACCTATCACAAATATATTGCACATAATGCCATTAGAGTGAACCACAAGTTCAGGGGAAGTTAGATAAAAATGCAATATATAATAAAACATGCTATAGACAAGTAATATCCATACTTTACAGGAGATGTGAATCCCATCATGGCATCATTTATGAGTCTTCAATATTTTTCCACAGAAGATATAAATGGGAAAAAACAAACATGAAGAAAAATGTAATTATCCCCCAAAGGCAGGGAACTGCAGAATTCAGTAGGAAGAGTATAGAAACTAGAGCCACTGGCATTCTTTTTCATGCAAGATTTGTCATAATTCATAATTATTCCATCAAAACAGTATAGACTAGGCAACTGATTCCCAGTTTAGAAAATCTATACCAAGATAACTAAGACTGGGCCCAACGCTCAAGGATCAAGCGGGCCAGGCCCTGTTGGTTAAAAGCAAGCTTTGTTAGTAAAGTCATTTGAGTTAGTTAATTGGTTAGCCTGGTTTGAATAGAGGCTGAGAGTGTAATGGAGTATGAAATTTGGTCCAGTCAGTTTAGGGTGAGAGAATCTATGTTCTTGAAATACTAGGGAAGGCTCCTTTGTATCTTCCGCACTCTAGACATCCATTGATCCAGAGTTGGAGAAAATAAACTTCTAAATGTCATTTTGTTTCGGCTCCCTATTTTATAATCCAGTTCTATCAGGCAGATATCAATATTTTGAGCTGGGTTAAGGTAAAAAACTAAAACAAATCGATAAAAATAGAGAAAGGAAATTAGTGAAAAGAAAAAAGCAAACTTGGGTGAAACACATTTATTCCATTTATCTAGCCAGGTACCAGTAAAATATTTACCTCAACTTCATTCAGACCATTGAATATGTCCATTGTCATATTTGCAAGTACAATGGATGAAGCTTTGTCGAACAATTGCAGCATCTGAGACTCGACCAAATCTGGCAATAAATTCAAATAGATTATAATGCAACTAAAATAACTTGTCTTGTCGAACACCGAAATATTTTTATAAGGTTGACAAAATTGCTAACTCACAGCCTACCTACGAGTGGGTAGCCAATCAGCAATTTTACTGTACTTATGTTTTTAACGTTTATGCATCCCTTGCAATTAAACAAGAGAAAGAGTGCCATTCAATTAACAATGTGAAACTTATGTGGAAAACCATTGTGGGACCTTTTATTTGAATGTTAAGGCTAGTCAACACAATCAAGTATTCCAACTAGAATACATAAAGTTATAACCGACCTTAGATAATAGAATTGCTTGTCAGGTATGTTTGCATTGACATGGTTTGAAGATCAAAATGTCTCTAGAATAAAAAATTGCCGCTAAGCTCATAATAAAAAGAACTATAAACAACAATAATGACATTTGCTTTTTGTAGTTAAAATTCAAAACTTGCCTACATCCAATGCCGCAACGTGTTGGCCCCGACTAATCGTAGCAAGCATCCGCAAGAAATAATTATTGCAGAATGCACCTGGGATTGAATGTGGTTTTAGTAACATTAGGAAATAAACAAATAAAAGATTTCACACGAAAAATATAAGAATCAATAAATTTTAATTGGATATGAATGTAATAATGTTAAAACCTAATCCAGACTTAAAATAGTAGAAAGAAGAAATCATACCTATGCCAAAAGTATAAATTCGCGGTGGCATTGACCCTCCATTGGACACATGATTCTTTATCGCATCACAAATTTGTCTCTCATTTTCAACAGTTCCATCTGTAGCTAGGAAAATAATTGGAACTGAACTTTGAGCATCAGATAGCATCTCTATTGCCTGAAAGAAAAGACATAGTAAAAATATACAAATATACAATGCAACGCTATCCAATGACAGTGAGCAGACAGAACTATGGTGAACATTAAAATTGAGCAGATTTTGATGCGTTTGTTCAGTAGACAGTACATTACACTCTGGTTTAGAAATTTTCATGTCAAACGATAAATGATTAGAACCAAAACATGAGATAAACTAACTAGAGTGTTGATATGCAGACACTCAAACCGTTAAAAAATACCTAGGAAACCCCTAATGATGTGGCTTATAATATATTATTTTTTAATTAATATTTAACAAAAGGGATCTACAGCAAAAAAATAAAATTAATGGGTGTTGGATGAGTGTTCTTGTTTAAAGGGTGTTTTTCTTGTTTAAAGGGTGTTTTTTGTATTTTTTTCCAACTTGATAATATATTTAAATATATAATTAACAAGTAATATGCCAAACATAAGCATAAAAATCACCCCTAAGGAAAAAAAAAATTGTATGGATTAAAGTTACCATGTTTAAAGGTTGCAAAATATTTGTATCACCCCCTGCAACAAAATTCATGTTAATCCACTCGATGGCCCTTTCAACAGCATCCTTTGAAGCCAACTCCATTGATTTTGAAAATTGGAATATATCTCCATTAAATGCTATAATACTAAATGAATCATCAGAATCGAGCTTAGAGAGAGCAACCGATACTGCATTTTTTATATCATCAATTAGCTTTCCCCGCATGCTTCCACTGACGTCAATTACAAATATAATGTCCTTTCTGAATATCTAGACATTGAGTAGGACCAGAAATGTGAACAAAATGACAATCAGAAAGTCATGTGTCAAAAGCACACCTATAAAATTTACAGATACTCTACAAACCTTCTTACTCTGAAGATTTCCCGGAGAAATGTACATGCAGAACATATCTCTTTGATCAAAATCGTCAACAGATGCAGATTTCAAGAGAACCCCACCACTTATAAGACTTGAATCCTGAATTTATACAACATACAAAAGTGCAGCATTCAACAGCTGAAGCTACGAATAAGAATGACCTTAAAAGTGGTATTGAGTCTTACAGGCAAAGCATATGAAAAGCTGAAATCTGTTGTTGACCACGAGAGAACATCTGATTCGTACGAGAAACCCGTACTCCCTGCATCTTGCCTCACTTTCTGGATAGTCAGGGAATAGAACCACATTAAATGGCTAATTGGTTGTACACATATATGAACTATAATACCACAAAGAATTGAACCAAATATAAATGAACCTTCAGGTAATGACTCATGTTCTGGCATAGAGGCTCACTTCCAGTTATAGTATCCACATTTATTTCTATCTTCTCTTTTTTCGACATTTTCGTCCCAACAGGGTTGACATAATCAGGAAAGGTAAATGGCACATTCAAGCAGAACTCATGATTGCAATATAATATCTTCTGGTACCAACTAACTTTAACCGATAGTTTGGAACCTCCATCAATCTGTTACAAGCACAAGAAACATGAGAAACTATATGAACCTATAAATAAAAAACTTTCAGAATAAACAGACTATAATATCTACCTGAGGTATATGCAAAGTAAACAAATTGGGCCCGATAAAGCCTCCATCTTGAGATCGGATGATATTCTCCTTACCATTAGTGTCTTTCGTATCAACCAGCAGAGTAGAATAAGATTTCCTATGAACACTGATTTCCACACCTAGAATTGAACCCTGTTATATGGTATCAGAACCCAAAATCTGCAACTTCTTTAAAGCATTATTCAAACGCAAGATGTTTGGAAGTCATCATGGAAACCTTAGGACAGAAAATCTACATTAAAAATTATTATAATTTTGGGTAATATTTTAAGTTTTTATTTATGCTTGAAATATTTTATTTTAAAAGCAACTTCACATAAAAGTTAGACGAAAATTCTCAACTAATGCAAATTTTCTGTTTCCTTTAACTCGAAAGGAAGCTTCAGGGACATGGTCACAAAAAGCAAACATAATTTGTTTTTGGTTTAATACATATTTATAATTTTTAATTAGGTCCTTAAGCTTAACAAAAATTATAATTGGAACCTTAATATTCTATAATTTTTACTAATTTATTCCCATACTTATCTGCACTTGCTATATTGACCCTTTATGTAAAATTTATAAGTTTCAGTTTCCAGATGAGAAAATTTAATGCATTTTGGTCTTTGCAGCCGGTTGTCTTTTAACTTCAAGTTTATAACTTTGGTTGTGTAACACTACAAAATTTGTCTGTTTACATAAAACCTCCAAATTAATTTGTACTGTGAAAGAAATATTTTATTTTGTACAGTAAGATAGAAAAAATTGTAGTGATTATCTTTAATTTCAATATTTAAAATAATAATTTTTTTATTATATATATTATTTAATTTCATAATTTTTAGATTTCTATTTACCCTTAAAATTCTAACAAAAGTTATAAATTAATAGGGACAAAACTAAAACAAATAACAGGAGTAAAATATTATTTTTGTTTTTTATAATATAGTTCTGTAGTTTCATTCTTAGCAAAACTCAAATAAATAGTCTTGTAAATTATTTATTTTTTGTTTAATTAATAATTAAGTTATATATTTATTATTAAAAAGCATAATTTTGTTTTTCTAATTTTTATATTTTCATGATGGATATAATGCTATAATTTCCTTTCAATTGCGAGAAAGCGTTATGTTAATTACAATAAAAGAAGAATGGATCCAAAACTTTCATGTTTTAAAAATTAAGGAGTAATAAAATTACCTTTTTAACAGTTAAAGAAGTTAATTGAACCAATGTCTACATAAAGAAAAGCACAGGGACAATTCAGGAAATAAGCGTCACAGAGAATAACTCTGTTAGATAATGACCACGTATCAAGCGATCCTGTGATTGTGGCAGGGGTAAAAGTTTAAGAGTCAGGAGGGCAAATTCATGAATGGGAGATTTTGTGATGCAGTAATGAGTTATATAGAAGGTTAGGGGAAAGAGAGGTGAAGTTGATGAAGTCGGTTTTCTTTTTGTAGTTGCTATACCTGTAAAGCAGCATTCTTCTTGCACTGTAATGAACCTATTAACCCCGTGATACATACTGATATCACTCCACTTTCACTGTGATTTTACATTCTAATAGGATGTCTGTATTTAGAAATGATAAGACCGATTATATATTATTTACTCTGCTTAAAAAATGGTAGTAAATTTAGCTTGTCAACTTGTTTTTTTCATGTGTCCTCTCTTCTTTCAAATCTGAATGGGATAGACTACCACAGGTACTTGGGATGAATGGCTAATCAGTTTAAAAAAATACATTTATATATTAAAATTAAAATTATAATTATAATTAAAAAAATTATATATTTTTTAATAAATATAAAAATATATTATAATATTATAATTTAAATTATAAAATTAATTAATTAAATTTAAATTATGTTATATATAAATATAATAATTTTTTTAATTTATTAAATAAAAAAATTAATTAATAAATAAAAATTTAAAAATTATTTATATAATTAAGAGTATATTTTAAAAATATATACAATAATTTTTATTTTAGAAGAATTATTAATAAATTAATATATTCAGGTGTTAACTCATCATTTTACGAGATATATTAGATTTATAATTTATCTTAATTATGATTAATTAATATATTTTATTTTTAGTGAACTAAAGATAAAAAATACACTCACTTAATTTACTATCTTAACCAATTAAATAAATATAGAACGTTTTAACATTCTTAAAAAAGAAAAGAAAATAAAATAAAATTACATCTTTATAAATTAAAATCAATTTATATAATTTTTTATATTAATTTTTATTTTCAACTTGTAAATAAGTTTATTTTTTAGTTTTTAAAAAGTGAGTTCTTCGAAGAAACATTAGTTTCTATTTTTCTCATTTTAGTTATTATTTTCTTTTAGTCTTAAAACATTATTAATTAGTTTTATTTATTTACCTTAATATTTCATCCTTCAGCTACTTACTTCAAAGAAAATGATAACAATTAGGAAATGAAAACAAGTAAAAACAGAAGTCAAGTAAATCACAAATATCATCGTAGAAGAATAAGTTCTACGAGAATCATTCCAAATAAATAAAAAATTATTAAATTTTGTTTTTGGATCTTATTATTTTTTAATTTTATTACTTTATTTTATTATTTTTATTTTAATAAAATTTTGATTTATTTTTTGATATAAATAAATGTTGATCCTTTCATTAAAATAATTAAATTATCCAATAGAAAAATATAAGAAGATACTGATATAAACCTAATTACTTGCATGACCCTATAACATGATTATATACACTAATATGTAATTTACACTTAAATTATCATCAAATATTATTTGATAATATTTGCAACAAAATATCACGCACACATCAATTAAGAAAAATGAACAGGTTTTTTATTGGAGAATTTAACAAATTCATTTTAAAAAAAATTAAGACTAAAAATAATAAATAAGAAATGGGAAAAAAAATCTGTTTTAGCAAAAATTAATTTATGAACTAGAGAACAAAAAACATGGAATGTTTCACGCACCTCATGTGGGATGGGGACGGCGACTATGCAATCGCAGAAGCGGCTGCCGGAGATGCAGTGGAGTCGGAAGGTGGCAGAGAAGGTAACGAAGGCGGCGGCATCGAGGTGGCAATCGGCCTGAAGGTGAACGGCGGTCATGTGGAGAGGAATGAGGGCGGGAGGGTCACACTTTCCATGGACGTAGGGTTGGTAGCTGGGAACGTCGGGGTTGTCGACGATAGCAGGATCGCGAATGACAGCGTAGAGCATGGTTGCGGTTGGGAGGCAGGTGGTGTTGGACTTGGACATGGAGGGAGGGGGCAGGGGCGCCGAGATGGCGCGGTCCTTGCCGAAGTAAATGCGCTTGGAGAGGTGAAGCCCCTCCTCCACCGATTTGGAGAATTCCTCTGCCATGGCTTCAAGAGATAAGGTAGGGATTGGAGGAAGGAGACATAGAGTTCCTTCCTTCTCAAGCCACCCTCGTTCTGATGATTTCTTCTGTTTCCAACGAATTTCAATATTTGTGTTGCGGGGCTAAAAATAGACACACCCTCTCAAATAATAACGGGACACGTGCCACCTCCTCCTTTGCTGATGTGGCACATCCCTGTCACCATGTAACGGGTTTCTTCTCATTTCGTTGGTGCTTGCGTGTCATAATACAAATTTTATTTTCTCTTTTTCATAAAAAAATTTTAAAAACAATAAATACATAGCTACTAATACATATTTAAAGAATGCAAAATAATACAAATATTTGGAGATGAAACAAGGAAGTGAATAATATTGGAGTTATTTTGAAGAAAAAAAAACTGTAAAAGAAAAGAAATCTAACTACATACTCTCTTTTAAGATACATTTTTTATTGGTTGAAAATTATTGAAATTATTAGGTTAAATATGTTTTGGGTCATTTGTATTTTTTTTAAATTAATTTTTATCTTATATTTTTAAGTTAACGAATTAGTCCTCAAATTTTAAAAATAAAAAATTTAGTTTTTTAATCACCCTGTAAACACAAATTATTAAATATCACATTTAGGTATAAATAATTATTAAAATCATATATTGTCATTTTATTAAGGTGAAAAATCATAAATGTTAAATTTTGGGTATACAACATGATTAAAGTCATACATCTTAAAAATTAGATATCAAATTGATAATTTAAAAAAAAATGAGAATTAAAGATAATTTTAAAAAAAAGTAGAAACATATTTCTCTCAATTTATTATTTCTAATAATTTTCAGCTAATAATAAAGGATGCATTAAAAGAATATGTTAGAAATTGGGTTGTTGTAACCTAGGATAGTAAAAGGGTTTGGAGCATCTTCAAATGCAATGCTTTAGTGTGAGAGAGAGAGAGAGAGAGAACAAATTTAATATTACTAACTCAATTAACTATTTTTTTCTCAATTTTTATGAATTAATCGTTTGAGTTTTGCATAAAGGATTAGAATAAATACTTCTTTTTACCCACCTTATTTTCTTACTAGTTAAGATTTATTTGAAATCATATTTTTGTTTTTTTAGATTTCACTTGTTTAATAAGTCACATTAATAATTGTATAGTTTTTAATAAATATTAACATAAAGTATGATATGGTAACACTTTTCTTTTATTAATTATCAGACCCTAGTTATCTGGTCAGCAACATCCAAGTGGTAATATTTATTTTGTATGGAGAAAACAAAGGAAATGTAACTAAAAAAAGAAAAGAAAGATCAGAACTTGCAATTGATATAAAAGTAATACCTAATTCTCTAATTATAACTTGTAAGCACAAATATCATTTTTGACACATTATTTCAACATATCAAATAATGTATTTGTAAAAAGAATATTGGATATGAAAATTTAAATAATCAAATTTAAAGTATTATCGAGGACAAAAATATAAAGATTGAGATTATCAATAACGAATATTAATAAAAATTATTAGAAAGTTAAACAAAGTAAGAATCGTCCTTTATAGATAAGAACTTGTAAAAAGAGTTAGGATTTCAGGAATTTATATTTTGACAATTTATATATTTTTTATTTCAATCATTTACTTTATACATTTTATGATCATTGTTTTTTAGATTACCCATTTTACCTTCAAAGAATATTCATGACTTTAAAATTATATTTGTTGATGAAATTGACGGCAAACACACCCTGGAAAGGAATAAAAAAAAATGAGATAGAACTTTCAAACAAATTTGCAGTCCCCAACGCAAGATTGTCTTTTCTTTTAAGCGATCCAAAATCCTCGACATCATCAGCACCTGTCGAGGTCATAAATAAATGAAAAGTGGAACCCCACCTAAGATTATGCTGATATGCATTTTATCTCCTTTCTGTAACCAAAACAAAAATTCCTCTCCTTTTTTACCTCGAAATTCAGGTGCAGAAACACTGCCATCAGGGTTGGTGCAACGCCTTCAATGAGCAGAGTTTCGTGACCCCACTGCAATATGACAGCAAAAAGCAAACTTACTCAAGATACAAATTTCAGTGGATATCATACTGGAAGGTAGTTGACATCTTGAGGTCCTAAATTCCATTAAAAAGTTGAAAGGATTCATGCAGGCATCAGTAAAAGTCACATGTTATTTAATTAAATTTCATTCTTCACTTTCAATCACATCATTAAGGAAATCATGATATTACATAAACTACTTCACTTGGTTATTAATTTTTGTTAGCATTTTGACACTAAAATGGAATTAATAAATTTCTTTATAACTTTTATTGCAGCAAGTCAAACAGTAATTATATTAGAGGATTAAAAATACAATTAAACCTAAAAAGAATACTCCATAGCTATGACTACATTTCTCCCTCGTAATGTCGAGGATACGTTGTATTGAACTTTGAAATGCTTGTTTGTGCTTTGAAACTCCTTTAAGTATACTAAATCTAAAAGTACATTTGAACTTTTTATCCCAAGCTCCCCAAGAAGATATAAAATGGTATCTCCGCATCTTGATTACTGCTGAAGAACCGTGAATCAGTATCAGTTACCTTGTCTGTGAGTTAACAGCGCACACAAAGCAAAAATCATATATTTAACAAATATTTTACCAAAGAAAATTTTGTGTTTCATTTGGGCCGCCGATGTATTAGGAATGTCATACTCATACTAGAGATCAGCTCAAAGTTCCAACCCTGTTAAGGACATCTTGTATTGCCTGCCCACGACTCCATCCTCTGAAGACTAAGGTACAAGATAGGAAGTGTGAATGACATGATTGGCCAATAAAAGTATGTAACATCATGTGCAGACTAGATTTGTGTAAAGAGTATTTCATTCCATGTATCAGGAATGCCAGGCAAACACCAGTGTAAGCAATCCTGCACACCAGGCTTGGCCGAAATGCTAAAATGTGATATATGACCTTCATCCCTAAGCTGAGAAAGAGCTGTTATGTCCAATATCTTGACCCTTGTCCCCTTCACTGCATTTGCTACAACTTCATCTGCAGATTCATCTTCCAATATTTCCTTTCCTATTGACATTGGTGTAGTGCTGTTACAGCTGCCTCCAGTGTTCCAGTCCCCACCAACAAAATGCCTTGGGGAAATAGTTCGAAAGAATACTTTTAAACTAGGATACTCTAACAGCTGCGAGTTCACCCAACTAACCACACTGTGAACAGTGAGATTCTTGGCACCTGAAACCACTGCTTTATTCTTGTCAGTATTTGGCACACCTCCAACGTGCATTATCCACCTATTAGCCTTCAACTTTCCTCGATTCCAATGGTGACCTGTGTTGAGAACCAGAACATCAAACTTGTGAAGGAATTGGCGCAAAAAGGCTGGAGGCCGGTCAAGATGTATTGCATACTCTGTCTCTGGATCATTGGCATTGATAGGTTCAATATCACAGAGAATTGCTGACCAGTAGTAGAGAATTGTAGTATTTGTGCTCAAAAATCGGTAAGCCCATCCATCAGGGCGAACAGCACCCTCGGATAGAATCAACCCATACTCCTTCCCCACATCTTCCACATCATGTGTTTCCCTCCCAGCAGTGATCATGCACATTAGAGACTGAAACTGCTGCCGGCCCAATGAGTCTCCAACAAAGGCAAGAGTATGGTGTTGCATCCTGAATGCAACAAAATAATTATCATATGTCAGCGTCTAGAATTTCTGTTGATTCCAAAATTTTAGACAAATTAAAACTATAGAGATTGCAAATGTATTGCAATCCGTTATGTAGTGAAAATATAAGGTAACTTGTTCTCCAAATCAGGGAAGTTGATGATGTGCACAGCCATCTTACAAAGCAACAATAAATAGTAATAATTATAATAATATGACTAGCCTGTCAGCGCAAGCCTCTATCAAAACTGATTATATCCTATAGTTCAATTCACAATTTCAAGTATCAAATCATTGAACTGAAGTCTAAAACAATTAGACAAGAGTCTGATCTATTAACATTAGTGAGAACACATAATACCTTTTCAAAAATTTAGACCCTTCAAATTCCTCCATTTGACAATCTTTTGGTTGCCATCGAAGACTTTCATACGCAAAATCCGTGCGTTGTGTCAAGCGGCAAGCCCACATCCCTGATAGCCATTGCTTGCATTCAGAACCTGAATACAAAGGACGGCGGTTGTCTGGAACCCATTTTCCTTTTGCATGGTTACAGACTGGAAAAGGATCAACAAGAAAACAGTATTTACTTAACAGTACTAACAATATATAGTAGTTCATCAATCTAACAAATTGGTTTGTCAGAAAAATTTAGAGAAACTCTTTAAAATGAAACTTAAGGTCAAGAAAACAAGTCACATCTATCAGTTTTCCTTCAAATCATCAGAAGGGGTTAACTTCCCAATAATATTCTATAGAATATTGGATTTGCTTGAACATTCCATGAATTTGGTAGTTAGAATGACACATTACATATTCTTATGGCAAAAAAAATCCAATACCTTTATTTTCTGTAGCATTATTCAAATCGCTGCCAACTTTTCCAATACCATCATATTCATCTAACACACTTGATAGAATTTCTACAACATCAAATGAAAGACCAAATTTTTAAGTCCCAAGTTAACACGAGATTAACAAAGATAGATGGGGAAGGGAAAGGGAACAACAAGACCATATGCTAAGAGCTGTGCTTAAAGGATGATAATAGTATCATCTAATCTTATTATGAGAGGATAGAACATAAAACACTAAGAACACTCCTCATAACAATACCATTAACTCAATGATGAAGAAAAAGATAAGCACGTGAATAAATGAGAAATGCAACCATATAACTACAAAGAAATATGTTACGTTCTGTATATGGAGAAGTTCCAGTATTGCTTTCAACCCTTCCCGAAAAGCTTTGGGCAGAAACTACCCGAAACACAACATGAATATGTAGTTCCATCCATACATGGCTTTCGCACCAGTATGTTGACCACAGAGCTACTCGCTAAATTATGTTCAAATATGCTAAACAACCAAAAAGAAACTACTGATAATAAATACAAGTTGATTGTTCAGCATGAAGTTTCAAAGCTTCGTTACAAAAAGATCAGAAGGTATTTGATGTCAACGAAAACTACACAAATGACATCCTCGTCTCAAATATCATGAAACTACGAATTATACATACAGCTTCATCACTCATCAAGACAAAATGTTCTTATCTAATTCTACGCTGACAGGCAGAGTCATTCAGTCTTTAAATACTACCTCCAAAATCCAAAATTACTAAGTAACCTTACAACATAAATAATTCGGCCTTCGTAAATGAAAAATAAAATAATATCCCCATATTAAGGGGATAACATATCAGTTTTATTCGAAGAAGTATTGCAAAAATGAGGTCAAACCTGAAGAAAACTGCATCAATGTTTTAGAGGAAACAAATGAAGTACGCGGAGGAACTCTCTCCCATGACCATATAATGAACGTTGTGGACATAACAATCATGAAAATAAGGGAAATTTCTTTACCCTTCAATCCATAGAAGCCCACCTTCATCCTACACAAACAAAAGAGAGTTACAAACATAAGAAAGTGAAGAAAAGGCAAGGGAAGGCACCCTCTTTCCTTTTCAAATGTGTTGAATACTAAGCTCCAATTCAGCAAAAATCTGTGAAATTAGAAACAAAATAAATAATCTTCCAACAATAAAGAAAAAAAAAAGGTTTCAGTTTAAGCCAATAGTAATTTCACGCTATAGAGGAAAACAAAACGTCACTTTCTCAAACATCTGCAACCTTCTTCCCCAAAAATTCAATAAAAATGTCTTTCTAGCTGAAATATTCCATCGTGACAGTGTTTAAAAGCAACCGCCACAAATGCTCAAGAAACCAAAATTAAAAAAAAAAAAAAAAAGTGGAGGGCTTGAGCTAGCAAGCTAGTATCACAAACGGACAGATGATGAGTGACTGCCATCCTGGTATGAAAATTAACAACGGATCTGCGGTTTCACACTAGAACTCACCTGAATCGGAGAAGGGGACTAAGAACCCTAAGATAGTGAAAATATGTGTACCGAAAATGCAGTGACTAAAAGAAGAAAAAGGGTGGCGTAGATTTGAAGTATGTTTTAGAGAGTTGAAAGTGAAGTAAGTGAAGAGCTTTTGGACGAAACGTTGTGGAGAATGAAGTGTGGTGACATCTTAGAAGCAGAAAGTGGGAAGGAAGGAAATAGTTGATAGCAGAGTAGTATGATTGAAGGAGCAGACAACACCGGAAATATATTTTGTTCGGCAGTGGGTAGATTGGGGAACTCAATCATATCTCCCACAGTAACACTTTTTGTGTTTTTACATTAATTTACTTTCAATATAAACAAATTTATCTAATCAAAATTACACACAAGCTGAAATAAATATGGAAAATTAAACAGAGTATACAAGAACTTCCTCAAATATGAGAAATTGATACAAAAACCAACAATAACAATACATGAGACAAGCCTTTAAGACATTATAATTACAAGATTCTATGAAATCATAACGTGGAATTAAACATTTAAAATATCTTGTTTGTCTTCTTTTTTTTATAAATAAATGAAAAAGATCCTCAAGAAGTATTTCTATGACATGGATTAAAAATTTATGAAAAAAGTAAATAATTTCTTTTATATGTTTGTTGAATTTATAAAATACATTTTCAAACCCATCTATTATAATTTTTTATTGATTAATAATGTAAGATCAAAGATTTTGTTTTCTTAAAAAGAATTTTTAACATATTTCCATTACAATTTTCAATATCATTTTTAAAATGGCCTTATTTTAAACATATGATTGAGGTTTGAACAAATGTTATTTAAAAGAAAAACACTAACTAGTATCTTGAAAACATTAGTTAAAGAATGTGACCTGACGCTGATGCTGGCAAAGGAATCTTTCGTTCAGCCCATAAAAGAAAGAGAAAAAGCATGATTGCAAGTTCATTACACTCCGTTCCCGAGTCTCAGAGTAAACCTCCTTCGGGAACCCAACCCTAAAACGCAGAATCTGTTTCCGAAAGCGAAGCCATGGCGCGTGAGTTCAACGATGTTGCCGTCACGCTCCAATCCATACGCTACAAGCGCGGTTCCCTCCAGCTTCTCGATCAGGTCCTCTCTTCTCTTTAAGTTCCCCTTTCCTTCGCCGATTTCGTATGCAAATATTTTAGCACGCACACACGTTTCACGTTTCCGACTACTTTTTTAATCTTGTTTTAATCTTTACCTTGCGCCGCTGATTCTACTTGTGCAGAGAAAGCTCCCTCTGGAGACAATTTACTTGGAAATTCGGGATTCAACAGATGGATGGTAAGATGTTTTAGTTGAATTCGAAGGGTGAAAGAAGCGTGTGTGTGCCATGGCTTATGCTTTGTTTGAGATGTACTGAACGCGCAGATATGCGTATGCTAACTACGAGGAATAATAATTTGATTATAGCATTTGCAGGTTGTATGTTAAGATAAGCTCAAATGAAGTTAACTATTTTATTTTTTTTCGAATGCCCCCTCAAAGTTGTTTGATTTATGGTAATACTATGAATTTGGTCTTTAAAAGCGTACTTAAAAAGTGTATGAGGTTTCAGTTTAGTCTTAAAATTTATATAAATTAAAATTATGTTTCGAAAGAAATTTTTATCCATATTTATTTTCATTTTAAGTAACGAATTTGAACGAGCCTCTAGAATTTGGATTATGATCTTAATATTTTCAGTCAGTTGATGCAATTGTATAAATGTTCCCAAACTTATCAGGAATGCCATTCGGGATATGGTTGTCCGGGGAGCACCTGCTATTGCAATTGCAGCTGCACTCTCTTTGGCTGTGGAGGTGTTCAATTTAGATGGTTTCAATGGATCAGCTGGTGAAGCTGTTTCCTTCCTGCAGAATAAATTAGAATATCTTGTCTCAAGGTATTTTCAATTCTCTGCATTTTTAAGACAGCAGTCTATGTATTTTGGTTAATTTAAGTATGCCTTTGCCAAGTAATTAACATTTGGCATATTGAAGTGCCTCCTTAAGAAGTTAATGTGGTTGTCACGTAGTTCCTTTCAAGCATGAGTTTTAGTTTATTTCTTTCTTCGCTGCAGTCGGCCAACTGCAGTGAATCTATCAGATGCTGCGACAAAACTCAAAGAAGTCACATCAAATGCTGCCGCTGCTGCCTCTTCAGAGGGCAGGGATGTTTTCAAGGTAGAGCTAAAATTTACGAAGAAAGAATTCTTGGAAATAAAGGAATTTACATTTTTTTTACCCTTTCTACTCGATATTGGTTTTAGCCCTTTGAACCTGAATAGACTGGATTAATTCATAGGTATTTATAGAAGCTGCTGAAGTTATGCTTGAGGATGATGTTGCCTCAAATAGAGCTATTGGTTCTCATGGAGCTAGTTGTATTCAACAACAAACAGAGAAACAAAAGCTTTCTGTTTTGACTCATTGCAATACTGGAAGGTGCCTCTACAGTACCCTTCTTATTTAGTATAGTACAAAATATAAATGTAAATATCTGTTGCTTTCCACTTGTTTGATACATTATTTGTTTAGGTGTTTGGACGCACTTATAACTTGGTCTTTGATTAATACTCAGTCTAGCCACAGCTGGATATGGTACTGCCCTGGGTGTAATCCGTGCACTTCACAGTGGAGGAGTTCTAGAAAGGGCTTATTGCACAGAAACACGCCCTTTTAATCAAGTTAGTGCACTTTCCCTGGTATATTCAAAATTTGTTTTCCCAGAGCCCTTTTGAGAGATGATGCATCCTCAGTTACATTTAAATAGGATGATCAGCATAAGTTATTTTATGTTTTATTAGACAACTTGATTAATCACATTACTTGAGAACAGAATTGATCCATAATGATTTATTTATCTTTTTGGTTTATGTCTATCCATCATCAATTTAAATTTTCAATACGTAGCATCAATTTCTGAGCAAGAACACTCTGTATCTTGGTGATGGTTGTAGTTTGTCTGATTAGTTATGTTCAGCTTAAGTTGTCTGCTTAGTCATTCATTGGAAAAGGAAAAGAATGAAAATTGTTGGCCCATTGTATTAAAATACTAAATTTTCATTCAGAATCAGAATATTATAGGTGATGATCACGTTGATTATATATATATATTATTTGAACGAGAGCAGTAGATTGATGACGTGATAGAATATGTTAACTGAATTTTATAGTAGTTTTGAGAACACGTATTATGAAAGCAAACCTCAAACGATTTGGAGTGTGTCCTTACAATCAATCGCAACATTTAATTGCAGGGATCTAGACTTACTGCCTTTGAGTTGGTGCATGAAAAAATACCAGCAACACTAATTGCTGATTCTGCTGCAGCTGCGTTAATGAAAGCAGGACGTGTGGATGCTGTTGTTGTTGGGGCAGACCGTGTTGCATCAAACGGTACCGAGTTGCAATGAAAATAAGCTATAGTTTGCTTGAGCTTGAAATCTATCATCAGATTCATCTTCCTCTAAATGACATTGCAGGTGACACAGCCAACAAAATTGGAACCTACAGTGTAGCTTTGTCCGCCAAATTTCACAATGTACCTTTCTATGTGGCTGCACCCCTCACTTCCGTTGATCTATCCCTTTCTTCGGGACAAGAAATTGTGATTGAGGAGAGGTCTCCCAAGGAATTGTTGAACACACATGGAGGACTTGGAGAGCAGGTTGCTGCCTCAGGAATTTATGTGTGGAACCCGGCTTTTGATGTTACTCCTGCTAATCTAATATCTGGGATCATCACTGAGAAGGTCTTTCTTACCCCTTACCTCTCTTTATCTGCATAATTTAATTGGGGTTCAGTTGCATTTTGTTCTCTAACCATTTCATGTTCTCTGAGCAGGGTGTCATTACGAGGACATCTGCTGGTGATGCATTTGACATCAAAACTTTCGTACAGAAAACAGGTTAAGGTGGAATTGGATTTTTCTCATACGATACACCATTGCAGATTTGGCATGTATTTATGTTAGGGGAGACTTTTCTGACCTGGGGATCAGCTAATCGGGGCGTAGTTAGTAATCAAGTCAATAAGAAATTGGTGGCAACCATCCCTTGTGTGAGTAAAATGGAGTGTAGGGCTTTAAAGAGAGCCTTTTTGGTTCACGAGTTTGATAAGACTTCTCAACCTGATTGTGTAACATGGTAACATTTTAATATAATAAAATGTTTGGTATGTCATGGAAGAAGATAGTATATTGCATGAGATAATAGCCAAATGGTTGTTTAGTGATCTAGTGTAACATTGGATAAAAATTGACACTATAGAAATAGAAAATGATATTTAAAATCTTTTATTTTTCCAACACAACTCTTTTATATAATTTAATAATGATAATAATTTATTTATATTGTTACAGGAGATGTTAAGTTGTTGTCTATGACAAGTAAATCATTAATAAAAAAATATTTTCCTTAAAAAATGTCGTGCAGACATATATTTGTTTCTGAATACGGATTTAAGGAAGCCAGCAAACTGGATTTTCAATCCACATTAAAAATACCATTCTGCTTTTTAAAATAATAATCCATAACAAACTTAATTGATTATACAATAATTTTTTTTTTGAAAAACAATACCCTTAACTAAAAAATTATATTATAATAATAAATAATTAAAATTTAATGTTAAAATAATAAATAAAATTATTCAAAATAAATAAATTTATTTTAATTTTTATTTCTACACACTTATTTCTATTCATTTCTACATTTTTTTAATTTAAAAAATTTTACTTTCTATTAATTTTTTTCCTCTCTCAAATCCAAATATAATGAACTACTATTAATATTCATTGGAGAGAGGGGATTTTGTATGGAATTATTATTTAAAAATAGTTTTTAATTTTTTTAAAAATTAAAAATTTTGTTAATAAATATTTTGTTAAAACAATTTTTAAAAATTGTTTTATTTTTATCATTTAAAATTAAAAATCAAAATTAATAAATTGTATTTTTTATTAATTATTCATTTTTATCATTATAAAATTATTTTCCTACTTTCATTTTTCGTATAATTTTTTTAAATAGTTTAAAAAAATAAAGTTATTAAATATTTCTTTTCAACTTATTTTTAAAAATAGTTCTTAAAATTAATCTCTAAAATTATTTTTAAAACTAAAAAATAATCAATCAAACCCAAAAATAATACTGGAACAACTTGCTCTCGACATGTTTTAAAAAATTATAAAAATCCATTTAAACACAATTTAACCCCTCTTGCATTTCTATTGTTTGAAAAAAACAATATAGATCTGATTTTAGTTAAGTGCGGTTCATTTATGATGAATTTGCTAAGTAGTACGTACAAGTTTCGTTAAGTAATACGTAGAAACTATGTAGGAAAGCACGTAAATAAATCAAACTATTGAAAGTGAGAATCACAATGTTTATATCCTTTTATGCATGACGATTAATTTCGTTTTCGAATATGTACTATGATTTAATAGAATTAAAATATTTTTTTATCAATATTTTTCATTTTTTATTTTAAATATATTCTTAATATTATCATTAAAATTTAATTTAATTTTTATATATCATCACTAAAATATAATTTAATTTATATATATATACTAAATTACATTTTAAAAAATAATATATCGTGATTAAATTACATTTTATGATATCACGTAAAAATTATTTTAAAAAAACAATACGAAAGATAAAAGTTATTAAAATTTTAATAATATTCAAATACTAACGAAAAAATATACACATTTTAAATAATAATAAAAAGTTCATCCTATTTTCTAAAAATACAAAAGGGACCTCACTCAATTTTTTTTGTCAGTTAAATATATTTTTAATCCGTGTATTATTTTTTTTGTAAAATTTGATTTTTATTTTTATATTTAAAAATTAATTAATTAATCCTCAAATTTAAAAAAATTATAAGGCTAATTATTTGATCAACTTTATAAT